TTTTTTTTTTTCTGAGTGACAGTTTCTTGCAGTACTAGTTGAGCAAATTTACTATAAATTCACTGCTGTTTTTTACTACTGTTTTTTTGTTCACTCCTTAACACTTGCAGGATATTCAATCCTGCTCCGAATGTGGGTCCACAGTAATGATCTCAGTCCCTCCTCCCAAATACATGTATCCTTTGCTGTCCAAGAAACGTGCTTTGCCCTGTGTTGCCACCGTACGTATTGTTCGTAAGGTTGACTGTGGTACCTACTGGGTGGTCGATAAATCTGTTTCTGTGCTGTTAAGCAAGGTAACTTTTTTTCCGTTTTAAAAGTGCAGAGTAAGAAGATAGAAGATGACTGGAAGAATGAGGTGCGTAAAGCAATTCTTTGCCTACCAGTGCAGTGGTAAACTAGAGAACCGTTGAGTTATATTTAACTGTGGTTGGTGGGGTGAGTAGACTTTTGAAACAGCTTTTAGAATTGAGGTGAAGGGGAGAGTAGCCGCGTTTTCCTAAGCTTCACAAAACTAGTCTGAATTTTTGAAGGTTATTCTTTCATTAAACATTTACTTTCAAAGATCTATTTAATGGTATCAATTACTATCCTTTTCATTGAAAACTGACAACGCATTGTTAATTCACAGAGCTAATTGAACTGCCTACGGTGCAGCGTATATCTGACCACTTATGCTGATCTAGAAACCATTTCTTTAAATTTGTAACTGTGAGTGTTTACGTCCTATAATCCAAAACGGCTGAGGATGGAGATTCTTTAAAACTCGCTCGCCATGCTTAAGCCTCAATGTTGTAGATTCTGTCCTTTTCAGCAAATTGTTCATCCAGCGTATGAGCTCTTACCCGAAATCGAGGTTGGGAAGTCAATCGCTTGCATTGCTAGTGTTGTGCGACCAGACAAGGAGTACGCACGTCCAATGTTTTGCAGGTAAAGAAAAACTTCGGACAGTGTTCATAGCTGAGTAACATATAAAGAATGAAGGATTTGTTTCCTGTTGATTTTAGCTTGAGATTTGTAATTCATAGAAGCATATGGTTTTCTAAACTCCTACGCTAGTTATGACCGCATATGAAACGTTTTTTCATTTATCTGCTGGATTTAATAGTTTTTTCAGAAACACTTAGTTCTATCATATAGAATATTGGCTTTTATTAAATTTGTAGGGCTGTGGCCAGCAATTTCAACAAATGTGATGGAAGCTGTATAATATTTTTAGTGGATTATGGAGAGACTTTTACAACAAACGTTTATGCACTGTACAGTCTTAAGGGTCAGGTATGGCTCAGCAATTGTTATCAGTCCTGATTCATTTTTAATTATGAGTGGTCTTCTCTCATTCTTTCCGTACTAATTCACTCGTGAGTGGTAGATTTTGGGCGAGGGAAATTTGGAAGTTGCTGTATTAGTACAACTGTTAGTTCGTGGCAGTAGAATCATTATTGCTCGAATTCATTAAAGCTTCAATAGTTTTTTTGGTCTAATCTGCCTTAGAAAGAAATTATGCTTTGTTTTTTAGCCACCTGCAGTTTGCGAAACACCTGGAGCAGCCTTTTTGTGCGTCATCAAACAACGAAGTCAGTCTTATCAACGTTATGCCAAGGTATATTGGAGGAAATGTAAAGCTATTTTTTCTCATGTTTTTGTTTTTTAACTGTCAAAGTAATGTTTTAACTTCCATTCTGCGCATCTCCGCCTCTGCTATGCTTTTGTTTGCTCTGATTTACTTGGTTGCACTGTGTTTCAGCTGAATCAAGATGAGACATACGTAATTGAAATATTTACGGTGGATGAGAATGAAAAATTTTCTGCATTGTTGTACAGTGTTCCATCCTTGGAGATTCCAAATGACTTACCAGAAGGCGAAAAATCTGATGACACGAAGCTGCGCGGTTCGATGTTGAAGCATTGGGTTAACCCGAATAATGAGATGAAAAAGATTATAAGATGCTCAGGAGTTCATTTAAGCCAGGGAGCGTCATACAGACAGGTTGAGAAGACGACCTGTTGCAGGAACGAAAAAAACAGGGATCCGTTTGGCGAAAAGTCACTTTTTTTTTCTGATAGATATATTTGTAGTAGGTTACTTATAGATCGATGATTTATATTATTCTATTTCAAAACTGTATGTTAAATATTTTGTAGAAGATTTGTGAAGTAATTTTGATTTATCTGTTAGTTGTCTAGAATCCATGTTGCTTTGGCTATAGCAAAATTGGAAACGAAAATCGATATCCAACACGCCGAATTGTCGCGCAAAATTGACAATTTGATAAGCTTAAGGCTATTAGGGGTTAGTTTCTGAATGATTTTATTTAAGTCTATCAGAAGCAGTAAGGAAGTAGCGGACTGGCAAAAACTTCAAATTGCTTTATAATGAGGAAAATAAGTCACTTTATTAGAAATAGCACCAAATTTTTGTCCGCTTTTCGCCAAGGTGAAAT